TGCTGAGACATGCAAAGGTGATGGGATGAGATGTCATACCCATGATTATATAAGATTGTGCATTAGGACTCTCCCTAGGTGGCTTGGAAGAAATGAGCTGCCATATTATGAGAGAGCCTGAGGAGAGCCACATGGGAAGGGACTATGGGTAGTCTCTAAAAGCTGAATGGCCCCTGTTAACAACCAGTAAGAGGGAATTTCATATGTGTATCCACAAGAAATTGAATTCTGTCAACAACCGTGTGAGCTTAGAAGAGGACCACAGGATCCAGAAAGAAATTCAGCCCAAGCAACACCATGAGTGTGACTTTGTGAGACTCCAATCAGAGGACTCAGCTAATTTGGTTCTGGACTCCTGATCCTCAAAACTGTGATACTTTTTAACCCATTAAATGCTGCAGCAAATTGTTACATTACAATATAAAACTAATACATACATCTTTCTTTTTAGGTTAAAAAGACAGTAACTCAAAACTCCTAGGTAAAGGGAACATTTAAAAGTATTAAAGTGATGCCTTAAGCATATATTTGTTTCTAATGGATACTATGGTCTATTACAATTCAAAGCAATGAAAGAAAAGGAAGCAAAGAGAGATTCCAGAGAAGAAAGAGCTGGATGTCTGAAGCATAGAGGTCTAAATACTTGCAACTCTCTACCTCTCAGCCCGTGCCTTAAAATTGGGAAGAATAGGTTTTAAATTATGAATTAATAAAAATAAATGCCAAAGAGGCATCACCATATTAAAACTTAATGTCCCAACAGACCGTTTACAACCATCTAAAATTGAACTGAAGTTACATACAATTTTGAATGAGAACAGCAAAGCAAGATTATGAATCATGTATATAGACATTTGCATGATATTCTAGGTCAGTGGTTCTCAAATATGATTTTCTGCTCCCTGTCTGTTATAATGTGAATTTTTGAAAGAAACTAAGGAGTTCAGAATTTTCTTTAAAGGTTTCCTGGGCATCATCTCAGATTTAACTAAATCAAAATCATCAGAGGTAAGATCTGTTACCACTCCAATCCCCACACATACACACTACACACACACACACACACACACACACACACACACACACACACACACACACACTCCTTACCAACCAAGGACCTCATGAGGTTACAGTGCAGACAGTATAGTTATTAGGACTCATCACAATTAGGTCAATTCTTTTTGTCACAAAAGCACCTTGTAGATTTATACATCTAGTTCAATGATTCTCAATCTTGGCTGCATATTATAACCATGGAAAACATTATAAATCCTATTGCTTAAACATTTTTCCAGAGCAATTACATCATAATCACCAAGCATAGTACTCATTATTTAAAAATTTTAAAGCTACCCAGATGATTGCAGCATGCATTTAAGTTTGAGACCGCTGATGTGCCGATAACATTTGGCATCTTTCTGCAACCTTTCTAATGTATAATTATGTAGTCCAATACCCAAAACACTGCCAGGAAGGCCAACCATGACTGCCCCACTTTGATGGAACACACCACTGAAGTTGACTATTTACAGCCATGCTTTAATAACACCTTTTTGTTGAACTTTATGTTTATCAGATTTATTTCTAAATAATGCAATGTAATTATCTTTATCACAGCTTATAGACAATGACACACATTCCACTTAGCCAGAGGGAGCGCCCAAACAAGCAGTCTGAGTTCACCAAAGTTTATGCTGCACTATGCCAGTGATGCTCAAAATGTGGTCCTCAGACCAGCATCCTCACCACCATCTGGGAACTTTCAAGAAATGAAAATTCTGTGACCCAATCACATACGCACAGTATCATAATCTTTCAGGAAGGGACTCAGCAATCTGTGTCTTGATAAGCTATACAGGTGATTCTGAGGCACACTAAATATGGAGAAAAGCTGCAATATACTCTTTTCCATCTTTATTCCCTGCCCACATTTGGAGACTCAGCTCAGTATGTGATAAGTGAAATAAAAATATATGGGTGGCTCAGTGATTAAGACAGAGTGAGGAGAGGATATTTTGTCTCACTATTTTCCCTTCTTTTCCTTCCCCACTTATATTAAAAATCTATGTTGAAAATGAGAGGAAATGCTGTCAGAGGTACCATGTGGGAAAAACTGAGGTTATGTTGGTCATCTTTACTTGCAAGTGTGCCTGGCCATGTTAGTGACTTTCACATGAGTGTGACTATTTTAAGATATTGGTGAATGGTTTATCCTTTTAATCAAAACATGGGTAGTTTTAAAAGGTTTCATTAAAAATGAATATCCCTTTAGAGTTAATTTTTGTATGTGGGGATAGATTGGGGTCTTGTTTGAATCTTCTGCATGTGATGATTCCTAAAAGCTCTAAATATCAACCTCCCATATGACGCCACAATCCTCCTACTGGGAATATACCCTGAAGAACTCAAATCAATCTATAAAAAAGATACCTGCACATGTATGTTTATCGCAGCATTGTTCACAATAGCAAGAACGTGGAACCAACCATGCTATCCATCAAAAGAAGACTGGATTTTAAAAAATGTGGTACATATACACGATAGAATACTATGCAGCCATAAAAAAGAACAAAATCATGAATTTCACAGCAACCTGGATGGAATTCGAGTTTATAATACTGAGTGATCTCTCAAAGAAACAAAGATCTGAGTATCACATGTTCTCACTCATATAGTGGACCTTGAACATCTATCATAATACTCTAAGAAAAGGATTGACAGTGGTGGGAAACTATGGGGGGGTAGGGAGGGGAAAGGAGGTGGGACTAAAAGTAGTCAATATCTGTCTGGGGATGGGGAGACACCCCTTATCAACAAGGGTGCCTAAACGATGTATATTTGTATACCTAACCCTTAACTGTACCCCACAATTTTAAAACAAAAAATATGTTTAATAATTAAAAAATAAATAAATATGCATTTTCTTTTAAAAATAAAAAAATGAATAGCCCCACTGTTTCCAGGGAAATTATTTTTTGATCGTAAGAGCTTTGAGATAATTGGTGTTGAGGAAACCAAGGGTAGTTGGTTTACTCTCTCTGATGGAAGCCACTAAGATTGTAGCTGTCCCGTAAACCACGAGCACTGCTGCTGACCTGCTTTAAAGTCTCTTTGCTGTGCTTTAGGACACTTTTATTAAAGTCGTATGTTTGACTAGGGAGAAATAAAAATTAAAAGGCCACTCTTGTTTGATTTATCAGAGATGTTGATTAATATTTTCTGAGCAAACTGTGAGGTCCTTTATTTTAAAGAAGTATATAAAATAGGCTTTGGGCACATTCAGATCTGATGGAAATTTATCTCACGAGGTGAGGTGAGACATGGGAGACAGAGAAAGCAACATAGAGAAGGAAGAGAAAAGAATAGAGAAAGAGGAGGACTGGGGAAGCTGAAAGAAAGGAGACGAGCACCGATGAAGGGAAGAGACAGAAGAGATTACAAAAAGTGAGGAGTAAAAGGAGGAGTGCAGAAATAGAGACAGGTTCAGAAGGACAGGTAAAGGGGAAAGAAAAGAGGTTAGGAAAAGAGAGAAAGGGGGAAAAGGAAGAAGAAAAGACATGTTGGCATTGAAAAAAATAAAAATAAAAGAAAGCAATAAGGTAGACTTTGGAGCCTGGCAATTTATTGTGAAGTGCCACTTGTATAAGACACACTGCAGAGATGCTGGTTCCAATGGCTAATGATGGCAGTAATCATGATTCCAATTTGCAGCATATGGAATGAAAGGCAGCCAGACCCCAAATGGAGAGAACCCACAGTGATGGCAGTGGAATAATAACATAGCAGCAGTCGAAGAACACAGGGATGCTGGGAGGTTCAATTCAGTTCTCCTGTATTCTACAACCATTTTGTATCTGATGCACAATCTGATGTTGAAAAGAAAATAAAAGCAAAAAAGAGTATGTTTATTACTAATGAGGTCATATTCATATCTCTGAAGTAGAGCAAAGAAGTTCAGATATTCACACGAACACATATGAAGTTTTATTCTGTGATTAGCCTCTTAGCGCTGATTTCCGGTCAGGACTTGTTCGTCTCTTTTACCTCTTTTCCCTTCTGCTTTTGCTGATTGGCGATTTTCTACCGCCAGTGGTCAAGGCAGCCATTTTATTCTAAGCACTTGCTCTCCCTGAAGTCTGGAACTATTGTATAATAGGCATAACTACTGATTCTCTAGCGTGGTTGTTGAAGTCTTTTCCTCTTTACGTGTGTTTATTTGTATGTGTCGTTTTGATAGATTACCCATCAAGATTCCTTTTAATCAGAGATCTGTGGGGGTGATGAACACCCATCTCCATTATAACTTCCCTCACTCCACTCTACCCCCACAAAGGCCTGGGTATTCACAGATGTCCAAGTTTTGGAAGAGAAAGCAAAGCTACTCTGTCTAATGGGGGAAGAAAAAATTAGAAAGTCTGGGAAAAAAGATGGTGAGGGACAAAAATGGGAAAGAGACAAACCTCATTCAGACAGAGAGATGATGGAAACTTGTGTGCAATGTGCATAAGGAAACGCTATAAAAATATTTTGCAGGCTGGGCTTGGTGGCAAAGGCAAGCATCAGGCTACAATTAAAAAATAGAGACAACGAGATTATTGAAATGATGCCACTATAGTTGAAAAAGAAATAAAATCCCAAGTAAGAATTGAATCGAATAAATCTTTTTCAGTACCCATTTTTGCTTAATGGGCAACTCTGTTGCACCAGCATGGGTATGCCAAAGTGACTCAAAGTCCACATGGATATTGACTACATTCCTATCCAGGAAAGATCAGTAGAAAATGCACATGTGGGGCAAGCCCTTTGGGTCCTCTCCCACTCCCACTCTGGGAGCTTTACTGTCTTCTCAATAAATCCTACTTTCTCAAAAAAAAAAAGAAAGAAAGAAAGAAAGAAAATGCACATGTGATGGGACTCTCACATGAAGACACATTTTCCCTCTTTCCCTCTTATGTCTCTGAGAAGTCTGTGAAGTTAAAGTCAAAAGAGAAATTTCTTACATTCTTAAATCCTCTGTAAAGAATCTGAAGCTCTTTCTTGGTAAATTTGCTCTGGGCTTCCAGAAGCTCGAGGGCCTCAGGCCGATGCCTGACGGTGGCCATCTCCAGTTCATCTTCCACGCTGTCTGTGGAGGAAAAGCAGAAAGAGTCTTAGGACTAGCCACTGCCCAACAATGCTAATATACAACAACACAGGAAGACAGAAGGACATGTTTGCTAGACGTGTGATTTGTCCACAAAGTAAGGACTCTCACAATGTCTTTATATTTTCCAGATTTAATAGTATTAAGCTGAGATGCTTTCACGTGACATGGTTTTGCACATTCTAATGATTAATGATACATTACAATTCTAGTGCTTTTATAGTCTTATTTGAGAAATGTAAAAAATCACCAACAATTCATCCTGGAATTTATCCTGGAATGAGTAGTTATAAATATGGAATTGTTTATTGACAGTAGTAGCATTCTATGTTTCATGAAAACTATTAGTAAAACATGATACATAGAATACTACTATTGGTTTTTCACCTTGGGATACAAAATAAAATGTTCAACTCAGGTGCTGACATGAATAAAATAGCCAGGAGCCAGTCTGACTGGCTTCATGGGTACATGCTGGATGAATGGGGGCCTACAGGATCTTCTCATTAGGCCCTATTTTGTAGCCAGTAGACTCTATAGCTATGGATAATCCTTAAAATATTGTCCTTCACTTTGTGAATTACATTTACGCTATTATTTCTCAAAGATCCTTTATGAAGAAAGAATTTTGTGCTCATATATGTGTGGGAAATTCTGTAAACTTAAATGTAATTTTGGAACAAAATATTGAAGTATATAGGTTTGAGAAGATTTGAAACAAAGGATTCTGTTTAACTTTGCTTAACCCAGGTGACCTCAATGGTATTTGTCCACATAACCTTTTCTGCCCTCATGTACATTTGGTAATATCTGCACATTTGCCCTAGTGTCATATAAGCACGTTTGGAGGTGCTGGGGATATATTAGGATCTGGGTGCTTCTGCCACAAAAGGTAATATCCTTCAATTTAGTGACTTTGCAGTGGTGTCAGATGTCAACCAGTCCATACCTCTGGTCAGGAACTCAGCAGAAACAAAATACACGCTTGTTTAGTGTGAAGACATAAACTTCCTTTCCATATCCTTTTCTCTTGACTACAAAGTTCAGACTCGGGAGAGTCTAGGGAGAATAACCACATCTCAGTTCCTCTGGTTCCAAGGTCATTAGGACCCCAGTTCCTTGACCTAAGGGTCAGTTGGAAACGCAGTCATTTTTGCCAAAGTCGCATCATTGTTGATATTAATAACGCTGCCTCTTGCTAACATCTGTACCTACTTACTGCTCTGGAAGAATAGTCTTTTACAGACCATATAAATTATGATACTTTTCTTCTAATGCCAGAAATGGGGCTCCTTGATGAATCCTAATCTATATTCAAGACTAAAGACAATCATCAAGCTATAGTTAAAAAATAGAGACAACTGGAGATTATTGAAATGATGCCATTATAGCTGAAAAAGAAATAAAATCCCAAGTAAGAATTGAATAGAATACATCTTTTTCAGTACCCATTTTTGTTTAATAGGCAACTCTGTTGCATCAGCATGGATATGCCAAAGTGACTCAAAGTCCACATGGATATTGACTACATTCCTATCCAGGAAGGATCTGTAGAAAATGAGAGTATTTAGCAAATAAAAGGTCGGTAGAGCCCTAATCTTGGTATGTCCTAATTACTGCCCTCAAGAAGTTTACAAAAATCCGTCATGGTCATGAAACAAATACTTGAAATGATTTTATTTGTGAAAATGAGTAACAGGAGATAAAAGCAAATGTTTGCTTTATACTTTTCATAATATAACAATTTATTTGGAAACAGTGACATGGAAAAGTTTCAGAATAATAATGGATGAATAAAAATAGGAGAAAGGAGCATAAAAGGGAAAGTCAAAAAACAAACTCTGAGCTGACAATAATAAAATTGATGAGAAAGTAAGTCATTGTACACCTAAAGTATGTGGGGAGAACTAAAAGTTGCTGGAAAAAGTGGGTAGGCATTAACAAATTGACCTCAGACTGGGTCTTATGGGGAAAATATAAGAGGTTGAAAGGCACTGGCTTCAATTTTCTTCTTCATTCATTTGAACAAATGGGTTGATTCTACTCAATTCATTCTGAGATAGATGGAGGAAAATATTGCTCCTGAAGATTGATACTGATCCAGTGAATTGAATTAATTGTATTCCTGTATTTGGAATGCAGCAATAAATGCCATACAATAGACCTAAATGTGAGTAGATAATATCAAATAGAAAGGGTCTGCCTGTAATTCCGGCTACTTGGAAGGCCGAGGCGGAAGGATCGCCAGAGCCCAGCAGTTCGAAGCTGTGGTGGCCGGAAACGGTCACTGCACTCCAGTCTGGGTGAGAGAGTGAGACTCCAACTCAAAAAAAAAGAAAAAAAGAAAGAAAGAAAGAAAGGGTCTGCTTTCTTGAGCAATGTCTAATGTAAGTTACTTTTCAAAAAGTTTTTATTTTAAAGATGTGAGGTACAATTCAGGGTTGGGTATACAAAAGGTCATTGTACAGGTAATGTTTGGGCCTCACTTTGGTCCCCACTTTACTTAGTTTGAGATCAGGTGCCTTATTAATGGTGTGTAAGCAGCTGTTGAATCATTTATTCATCATCAAATGTTCTGCTTTTCTACCTGTTAAAATGTACAAATCTTTTATGATTCAATTTAAATATGATTGCCACCTCTCTGAAGTTTTTCTGGATTGCCTCACTATGCAGAATTGATGACTCCCTGGTTAGAGTTCCCACATCCTACTTCCTGTACAGCATTTAAAACACAACATTAAAATTTGATCATGTTTGTCTTCTCCATTGTAAGTTCCCTGAAGATAACATCAATGTCACACATAGTTTTATATCCTCTGGAGCTAACAGAGAGCCTGATACTCCATAATCACTCATGAATAACTTGATAAGTGAATGAATGTATGAACAAATAATGTCGCTGCTCAAATTTCTGTTCCTCGGCAGCCCCTTGAAACTTAGCTGCCCTCTAGAGAAATATATTTCAAATTGAGGTTTGTGGGCTGTTCGTGGACCTTACATGTCTTCTTTAGAATCACTGTATTGTCTATTGTTCTGAGAAACATAACACAGACAAAAGTACAGAAAATTCTAATTATATTTTCTGGGCAGTCTTTCAATCATAGTAAAAGCTTGTCTAGACCTAGTGACCCCTTCTACTGAAAAGAAACAAAATAGCACATTGACTTCACCTTTGTATCAGGCAACTGTCTGAGCCATGCTACCAAAAGCCTCCTCTGCAGATATAAGGTTGAGACAAAAGGCCCAGGGCCAGAGGATCAGTATAACTGAATTAAGTGTGTGTGATGGGATGATCACCACATGCACTATGCAAAAAGAACCACACGAAGTGTCTGCCTGCGGGCTGTCTTGTTTTCCCAGCTGCCTGGTACCTTATTTCTTAATGACTCCTACCTGTCAAAGGGTTGTTTCTATTTCTAGGAGGCTGACAGGCTTTAAAACCGTATCTGAAATCATTAGCAATCACCAGGATATGATAAGTTAAAAAAGCAACACCACTGAACCCAATCAACTGATTCCTGGAGGCAAACTCTGTGGGGAGCACAGTGTGTTTCTACACTGGGCTATGAATTCACGTTGTGACTCAGCCACATTTTAGGAGCATGCAATTTGGGGGATTTGATACAGTGCCTAACATGTATTGAGCTCCTTTTATAAGCCAGGAGAGGGGCTGGGTACCTTATTGGCCTAATACTAATCCTCACAATAACCCCAATATGAGGTATAATCATCTATTTTCACATAATTGGAGACTGAGTCTCATAGAGGTGAAGAAATTCATAATCCAATGTCACAAAGAAAGACAAAACAAAACAAAAAACAGGGACAGGACTTAGACCCAAGTCTTTGATGCCACAACTTGTGTTCTTTTCCCTTTGCCACACTTAAATACTAAAATAAATAACAATGATAAAAATAATGCCAACCTGTCTCACCTCCTGTACTGTCAAATTTCTCATAAAAGTTGACCATATCCATCAGATCCATGTTCCATTTCTTGCTCTCCCCTTAATCTACTGCAAAGTGTCTTCTCACATTATGGATTGCACGGTGTCCCCCCACACCCAAATTCATATGTTGAAGACCTAACCCCCAATGTATTTGGGGGGCAGGCCCTTTAGGAAGGCAGTTAAGGTTAAATAAGGTCATAAACGGAGGTCCCTAATCCAACAGAATTGGTGTCCATAAAAGAAGAGGAACATACACCGGAGATGTGGGCTCACAGAGGAAAGGCTATGTGAGGACACAGCGAGAAGATGGTGCCCTGCTGCTACCTTGAACTTGGATTTCCAGCCTTTATAACTGTGGGAAAATAAATTTCTAAACCATCATAGTCTGTGGTATTTTGTTATGGCAGCCCTAGTAAATAAACAAATACATCCACATATATTCACACAATACTAATAAAAACTGGTCTTTTTATTCACAAAGTTTACCCATGAGTGCTAGGCAGTTTGGTAACCAATTATGTTATTTAATCTTCACAGTAGCTTTCAAGAGAGGAATTATCACTTCTATTTTATAGATTAAAAAACTGAGACTTGGAGAGTCTAAGTAACTTGGCTTAACCCAGGTAACCTAAGGTTCAAATGACTAGTTAGTAATGAGGCAGACAGAGCTGTCTTTAGCATCCCAAAGTCCAGTCATTTGAGCACTATGCTCCGATAGTAAATGAAAATCACCACCCTAGTTGTATATTATCCCATTTTAATATCGATGAAAGTTCAGTGAGCTAGCTATTGTTGTCCTTATTTTACATGGAGTAAGTTGGGATTCATAGAGATTAAATAACTTACTCAAGGTCACATATCTAGTAAGTGACAGAGCTGGGATTTGATCCCTGGCTTTTCGACACCAAAAACATGAGATTAGTCAGTATGCTATTTTGAGATGGCAAGTTATATTTTAGGGTTCAAAATCCTAGGGGATAAAAGACTTTAAGCCACAAGCCAGTTGGCCTCTGATTCTCCAGTGCCTCAACT